TTTTTAATAGCTTTTCTTGAAAGAACAGAGCTCCTGGTTCTTCAAGACTGCTACAGAATTCCTTGGGAGAAGAAAGAATGTATGCTTTTGCCCCTTCAAATGGACTCGCACATCACTCTCCACAGAGCAAAAGCTTCAGAAGACGTACTTCGTTACAAATCCCCAACCAATTTCAGGTAAAACCACTTACATTTTCTTACTTACGTTTTTCAAAACCCTCTGGGTTGTCTATTCGGAAGAATTTGAAAGCTGTGTCCTCCATAGCTCCCTCAGCCATAGAAACCCCCAAAGTCTCATTCAGAGAGAAAAGCCCAAGTGAGATCAATGTTTTGGTTGTGGGTTCAACCGGCTATATAGGGAGCTTTGTAGTCACAGAGTTGGTCAAGAGAGGGTTCAACGTTATAGCCGTTGCTAGGGAGAGAAGTGGGATTAGGGGTAAGAACGGCAGAGAGCAAACGTTGCAGAGGTTAAAGGGTGCTAATGTGTGCTTTTCAGATGTGACTGATATGAATGCCTTGGAGAAGAGCATAGACCAATTAGGGTCTCCTATTGATGTGGTTGTGTCTTGCCTCGCTAGTCGGAATGGCGGGGTTAAAGATTCCTGGAAGATTGATTACGAGGCCACGAAGAACAGTCTTATTGCCGGGAAGAAATTCGGAGCTACCCATTTTGTGTTGCTTTCTGCAATTTGTGTCCAAAAACCCCTTCTTGAATTCCAAAGAGCCAAGTTGAGGTTCGAGGCTGATCTGATAAGAGAAGCCGCGGGTGGTGGTAGAGAGGAGAGGAGGCGGTTAACTTATAGTATTGTTCGGCCGACTGCGTTTTTCAAGAGCTTAGGCGGACAAGTCGAATCCGTGAAAGAAGGAAAGCCTTACATCATGTTTGGGGACGGGAAGTTGTGTGCTTGCAAGCCGATAAGCGAAGCGGATTTGGCATCGTTCATAGCAGATTGTGTACTGAGTGATGACAAAATCAACCGGGTTTTACCTGTTGGTGGTCCTGGGAAGGCATTGACACCATTGGAGCAAGGGGAAATGCTGTTCAGGTTATTAAGGAAGAAACCTAAATTTCTAAAGGTACCGATCCAAATCATGGACTTCGCTATCGGGCTTCTTGACTTGTTCGCGAAGATGTTTCCTTCGCTGGAAGATGCAGCTGAGTTTGGAAAGATTGGAAGGTACTACGCGGCTGAGAGTATGTTGGTTTGGGATCCTGAGAAAGGGGAGTATGATGCTGAGAACACCCCAAGTTATGGAAATGACACTTTGGAGGATTTCTTTGAGAAGGTGATTAGGGATGGAATGGCGGGTCAAGAATTGGGGGAGCAAACCATTTTCTAATCTTCTTCCAGTTTCACCCTTTTATTTTGGAAATTGAAATTTCTCAACACCATTTCACCAATCTTTATGACTTCCCCATTTCTTGTATAAAATTTCAAGCAGGTGCGGAGGATACACCAATACACCATTATATTTTCTTTCTTTACACCTACATAGGTGATTTAATGTCCATTGTGTATGACATTAAGAATTGAGGCTGTTGTCTGTTGTTGATGTTGAGTGTCTTAACATGCACTTGTAAAGTGCTCATACATTTAGCATTCCGTCTGTGAAGCTTATTGCGATCAAATTATTCGTCTGAGCTTAAAATGCTCTTATAATATAAAACTATGTATAGCACCCGTGTGATGTATGGTATATTATTTCACTCTTTGAATGTGTTTTCGGAATATTTGAAATTAATATAACTATAATAAAAAAGAGTGTAAATTCAACATGGTAAACTTGCATAATTAAACATGAACAATATAATTTAATGCATTACAATTTCTTAAACACTTCCTTACCTGATTTTTTGTTATATTGGTATCTTTACCATACAGTCAAGCCTGACTTAAAACTTGTTTTTTAAGTTGACTAAATTGATCATCACTCACTTGAGTGTTCGAGTAACCATCTGAAACTTGAAAACACTTGAATGTTCATGATAGAAAGCAGAGAGATCAAGGGGCGGGAACGGGCTTGGGCCCACCTCTGTGGGCTGGTTGTGGGCTAGGGTTATATTTTTTATATATTATTATAAAGTTTATGTTATGTTTTCTAGTTTGGGCCTATTATTAGTAGAGTATTTAGTAGAGTTAGTATGAGCTTAATTAGGATTTATTTAATTTGGGCTCGATTAGGGTTTCTCTTAGAAGGCTATTTATACCCCTTGCTAGCCTGCCAGGGTTCATTCTTGCTTATCTTGGAATAAATTTGGTTTTAGCCTCTGGGCTCTGGGCAACGGTATTTTTATCGTTGATTATCTGAGCAACGATATCGTTCATTTTTATTTTTCTGTGCACAACAGTTCATGACAGGTCTTCTGTACAAACACATGACTTAACTGATCTATACAATATTGTGGTACAATGCGATTGTTGAATAAAAGCTTCCACATGAAAGTGATTCAAACACAGGTTGGGTTTATAACACATTTGATAGATGGAATGAAATGATATTTAGCTACTTGGGGATTTTCTTGGAGAGGGGGTGGATGGGCAGGATGGTGAGGATGACGGCCACAAATGTCCCAATGTGTGTGCAGTAGATGTTGAAAATGTTGCAGACTTTCATCCACCCAGAATGGGAGTTTCTCTTTAAACACAAGTAGGCCACTCCACCTGTTGCATAAGATCATAATTGATGGAGTATATGGCCCAGGAACCCCCGGCCCATAGATTTCTACTTCTCCTACGCAGGCCCATTGAGCCCAAGGAACATTCGAGGCCCAAATATAGCGGCCCAAGTCTCAAAGAAACCCAAAATACACACTGGGGTGCCTTCGGCCTCCGTGGCCGAGGGCTCCAAAATACACAGGGCAGCCAGATTCGAGCATACGAAGCTACTGGGAGAAAACGGCGTAAAACAGTAGCCCTCGGATACCAGTAGCCTTCGGCCAAACATATGATGCCCTCGGCATCAGGGAAGCCTTCGGCTATCTGATGGCTTCGGCTACACAGGCCCTCGGCCGCAGGGGGAGCCCTCGGCCAGCAACTCAATCATCGAAAAGATTTCCTTTGGAGACAAGCAACCACCGCATTTAATGCAACGTCACATCCACCCACCGCATTCAATGCGGTGCACATGCGAATGTCAGTGCCACCCGACTGAGGTGACCCCTCGGCCGTTAGATCATCGCCACGTGTACTCTCATCGCATTTATTACTACTATAAATAGCAGCCCTTTTCCCATTGTAAAGGATCCCAGATCCCAACACATCTCGAGTTATTAATAAAATCGACTCTCTCTCCTCCTATTTGCTCTGACTTCTCTCTAGTTATTCCCGCAATAACCCCTCGGATAAGATACCCCCGGGTAGACTATCCATCAATAATACTCTCAATAACTCTAATAAAATTAAACTAATGTCGTTGTCGTTGCTCAGAGACTCACCAATCGTTGTCACACAGCCTACTATCACCGTCGTCCACTATTAAAGCTAAAGGTTACAAAACTTTTTATAAACCGGGAAGGTAAATAACCAAAATAATGGATCAAGTCCCGGACTCGTGGTTGACATTTACCAAGTATTGTAAATAAGAAAAAGAAATTTACACAACGACAAAAACGAAAACAATTTGAGAGAATAAAATACAAAAATAACATCATTAGTGTTGGTCCCGTTTAAGTAGGGAACAGTCTAAATGGGGAAGTCTAAAATACTAAATGACCTAACATCATCAAAATCTAAGTACATTTATTCCTTACAATTAGATACAGATGTACAAAAGTATCCTTATTGAGTCTATGAAACCTTTTACAATAATGGAAACTTCACAGTGAGGATTGAAAAGATGATGTCGGTGTGTTCACTCCTTCAGCAAGGTGGTGATCTATCAAATTTAGATCGAGTCGGGATGCCAACATTTTTATCCAGTCATTCACTCTCTTTATATATCATGGAGTGACACCGACACCATCAAATATTTTTCTCTATATTCCATAATAAAACTTAAAAAATAAAAATGTATTTTATCCCGTGCACGGCACCGGTAAAAATAGTAGTATTAATAAATGTAAGAGTACACATTTATATATAAAGATGACCCTATAAAGATACGAAGAAATATATGGACCATCTTATGGAGAATATTTTCTCATTAAGATGGAATATTATTTTCTGGAAAATGTTCTTACATAATAATACACATTCAGTTTGCTTTATTTAGCAGTTAGATTAAAGAACCGTCCAATTTCCGGCACTATGTATTTCATTATTATTGACATAATAAAAGTGAGAGCTAGCATTACGCTGGTCTTTGAAAATCAATGATGACCAGTTAACTTACCTATGGATGGCCCCAAATGAGTTTATAGCAAGGTTGTTAAAATCGTATTTTTGAATCGAATCGGTAGATGTTTTTGAAAATCGAATCGTAAAATCGAATCGCAAATCGTAAGATTTTATCAAACATATTTTAATAATTATAAAATAAATAAATATTAAAATTAAGTTGCAAGTTAATGGTATTATGTCATTTTATTACATACCACTATACCTACAAGGTCAAAAACAAGATTTATAAACTATTTTTATATTGTAAATAGAGTGGATAATAACATTAAACATATGTAAAACATAAAAATAATTAAATAACACAAGAATCCATTACTTTTTTTTTAAATATACCATTGATGTTATTATTATTGAAATTTTGTATCAATTTAGTAGTTAATTTAAATAAATTTGAACCATTTTCACTAAAAAAACTTATTCCGATTTTGCTACGATTTTGATACGATTTTATACGATTCTACACGATTTTTGTACGATTTTGTTACGATTTTGTACGATTTTATGATTTTACGATTTTACCTGCGATTTGAATCGATTTATTATTGTAGAATCGTAAAATCGTACGATTTTACGATTTAAATCGAGATTTTAACAACCTTGGTTTATAGTATACATACATATAAAACTGCCGGCTCGTCTTTGAATACTTTCCCCGGGCCATTTTTGAAACACCAAAACAAACCCACAACAGGAAAAAAAAAAGTGTATTTGGAAAAATATTTGATTTTGAACAAGATCATTAGATTTCAAAGCCGTATAAAGTTTTTGTTTCTTGAATTCCATGGTCGATTAGATTGATCTTCCAATTGTCAAAGCAACACAGTTTTGTTGGCATATATGCACGAGGAATTGGATCAGGTTGGTTAATCATCAGCCTATGAATATGATAACTTTCGTAACGTCAATTCCAGGGAAAAAAATATACGTAGCATTAGCGAAGCATTTGTTATGTAATGCATGTAAAATAATTTATTTTCCATCGAGTATTTCTATGAACTTAGTTGTGTTTCATTTTCATAACACCGGAGCCTGTCTGATTATTGTGAGTTTTGGTTGAATTTGTAGACATTGCAAAATTAAGGGCGCTTTTGGCATTTAGCGGTCAGCGTTAGCAGATGGTGGATTATATTAGCGAAATGAGTTGGGAGGTTATCAGAACATGTTTGGTAATATAGCTATATGGCCGGGAAAATGCCATATTTCAAAATGCTAACTCAAAACTCTCTTATTTGTAGCGTTTGCATTTCAACGATTCCATCCAAAAACGCTAGTGCCGAACAACTATTTACCAAACAACGTTTTCACTTATTGAAAACATTAAGAGCTCGTTTGGAGACCTCTTTTTTAGGCTTATCAGGCTTATCAGCCAGCTTTTTCACCAAACACGTAATTTTTACTTTCGCGTGCTGAATTGTGTAATAAGCAGAAAAAGTAAGGTTGGAGTTACTTTTCTGGCTGTATTGGCTGAAGTTACTGTAGATGACCATTTTAGTTATTTTTACATGTAATTTTTTCTTTATTTTATTAATAAAATATATTTTTAAAATATTTTTTTCTAGAATCAGCAGAATCAGCCAAAACAGCCACTTCAGCCAGAACTTCATAAATTTCAGCAGAAACAGCCAAAACAGCCGATTTTCGTGCTACCAAACGGGCTCTAAAAGTGGTCAAACTGCCATTTTTTGGCTGAAGCGTCATTTACCAAACACCCCCTAAATTGACAAAATATCAACAACAAAATTAATTTACATATCTGCAGCTTTGATAGCCTTGAATATGGCAGAAAGTGCTCATTTTTGGGTTGCTAAACTTGCTGAATCATCGAGAGAGAATTAGTTACTAGCATTTTTTTCTTAAGAAATGATGTTACATCCAAATCAATGCTAGAAATCTCATTTAAATTCATTTCATCAATTTCAGTTAAAAGTTCATCTTGTGGAATGTGAATTCTGCAGTTGGTAGCCTAGTACAGCAGTTGTTATATGCAAGTGTTAAAATGTTTGGGTTCAGCATAAGAACAAGACAGAATAATGCATCTGCATCTCCAAGAACAACAGACTCACCAAGGGTCACTGCTGGTTCACCAGCCTCTGCTGGTTCACCAAGACATATGGGCACCCCAGGGACCAAAGGCTCCCCTAAACAAGTTGAGGTTGGGGAGATTGACACAAGTGCCCCTTTTCAATCCGTCAAAGCTGCTGTTAGTTTATTTCGTGAAGCTGGTGCTTCCCCTATGTCACAGCCTGCCACAATCAAGAAATCCGCAAAAACTCTCGAAGAGGTATAGTTCCTAGTATCCATATCATACATGAGACATCTTCATTGGGATTAGATCCTCCAACCCAAATTTGGGTGTGCTCCCTCTCAGACTCCAAGTGTTTGATTTTCACCATGTGTCATCATGAGCGATTCAATGCACGTGACGAAAATCTAACAACTGGAATACTAGTTATATGTTTATTCAATATTTATATGTTTGTTCGAGTTTTTATGAAATGGCTGTTGTAACTCGGTTGAGCCTAGTATGCGCTCATCTTCTCTTCAAGGTTGTTACTCATCAACGACACATAGTTAAACATGTTAATTTGGAGTTTAATGCTTGCCCAACATCAGGTAGTGGGGTACTTGTTTTTCTTTCTTTCTGTTTTGGCTATCTGAAAGTGGTGTCACCTTGTTTGCTTTTGGCAGCGAGTTTTGGTGAAGGAAACTCAGCTTCACTTGATAATGAAAGAGCTGGACGGGTTGAAAGAGCAGCTTAGAAACACAGAAGCCACAAAACTGCAAGCTCTCCGGGACCTAGAAAAGGCCAAGAGAACGCTCCACGATCTCACCAGCAAACTAGAAACCGTCTGCGAGGCAAAGCAGGCTGCCATCGAGTCAACGGAAGCCGCTAAAGTTAAAGCGAAAGAGCTCGAAATGCAGAAATCTAGCAAACCTGCTGCCATCTCTGGAGACGATGCCTGGAAACTTCATGTCGACAGCGAGAGAGAACAGTACAAGGCCTCAGCCGGGGAACTCAACTCTGCCAAACAAGAGCTGGCCAATCTAAGACAAGACTTTGACGCGGTTTTGGAAGCTAAACTCTCGGCATTCCAAGAAGCCGCTGACGCTCACCACTTAACTGCGGTCAACCGGGAGAGGGCGAACGAGTTTGCAAAAGAGGTCTCAGCTCTGCGTGAAACGTTAGCTCAGGTGAAACTCGCTCCTCTCCAGGCCCAAGAAGAGAACGCAAAGTTAAACGCAGAGAAAGAATCCCACCTGCATAGTCTGAAAATGGCCAAGGAAGAGGCAGACAGGAAACTGAGCATCCTGAGAGAAGAAGCAGATCCTGCAGTGAACAAAAGTCTGGCAGAGAAGCTTGAAGAAACAAACGCCATGATCGAGGTTCTCCGAGAACAGCTAAACAACGTCAAGGTTTCAGACAACACAGCATGGAGAGAAGTGAGCGCCCAGAAGGAGAATGCTGAGAGAGCTTTGCAAGAGATTCGTGCAGAGGAAGAATCTTTAAAGAGTCTTGTGGATTCTCTCAGGGAAGAGCTGGAAAACGTGAATAAACTCCGGGCTGAGTTGAGAAACAAGGCGGAGGAAACAGATTCTCTGGCGGAGAGATTGCGGGTGGAGCTTGACAGAAACAAGAAGGAGCTTGAAGCAACTATCGCAGGAATTACAAAGCAAGAGGAGGAAATAAATGCAAAAATCCAAGAACTGTCCTTAGAGGCAGACCGGGCAACTAGGGAAGCCGAGGATATGAAAAAGAGCGCAGACATTTTCAAACAAGAAGCAGAAGCTGCCCGAATCGCGACTCGGGCAGCAGAAGAGAAGCTGGAGGTTGCTCTAAAAGAAGCAGAGGAAGCAAAAGTAGCACAGAGAGTCGCAGACTATAAAATCCACAATGCATCAAGAAAGTTTACCGCCTGTAATGGAGAAGAAGATCAGGCTGCTGCTGCTAATATATCAGAGCCTCCAAATGGAGGGATCAAGCTGTCAAATGAGGAATACCAATCTCTGTGCCACAAAGCAGAAAAGCTTAAAACCGAGGCCGATATAAAGGTGGCAACGGTAATGGCCCAAGTGGAGAGCATCAATAGGAGCGAGAAGGAATTGGTGAAGAAAGTGGAAGAGAGGATGAGGGAGGCTGAGGAGGTGGAAGCTGCAACCAGAGATGCAGTGAAGAGGGCAGAAGTAGATGAGGCTGCCAAACTAGTCGTTGAAGGGGAGTTGCTCAGGTGGCGTCATGAAGAGGGTAATCATCTCGTAGCAGAGGAGACTCTGATTGAAGGACGTTAAAAAATCAAAATCATAGAGATATGAAAGATATCTATTACTGTACAGTATCTTTCTGTTGTGCATAGTTAGTTTAGCATACCTGTTTGTATGAACACAACCATTTGTGCTACATAATACATGTAAGGACATTTAATAGCGTCATTTGGTAAAAAAGCCTTTGTTAAGGTGTCATCAATGAAATAACAATATCAACTATACGTTTTAGATCTTATCAGGTTGACCTTTAAGGTAAAATATCAAATCTTCATTCTCTCTCTACTTAATCAGACTTAATGGTTAATCATCTTATCATTGTATTACCTTAATCCTTCTTCCTTCACACATAATTTAGGATCATTCTCTCTCTATTCGAGATTAAATACAAGATTACCAACAAAGCTTCAGTGATTGTTTTCCGAAATGTTGTTACACATGACTTCCAATAAAAATATTTCCTGATTGTGGTGAGCATTATCCCTCAGATGATTGAAATATACTTTGGAAGTGTCAAATAATCAAAATATTTCTTAGTTGTGGTGCGCAAAAAAAAGTGTTGAAGACTTTTGTTTCAAATTACAAACTACTCATAAAATTCATTAATTATATCTAAAACATCAAATAAAAAACTAATGCAACATGTTAACACATCGCGTAGCAACAAAAAAAGGTAATATATATATGCATTTGGTTCAAATGTTTCAAATAAAACTGCGATTTCTGTTTTCTTTAAGCTAAACGGCAGATCAAAACATTCATTTTTCCTCATCTAGGCATGCAATTTCCAGCAAGGAACACAAAAGGCACATTAGATTTTCACACTAACATATAAGCTACGAGTACTTTATTATTAATATAATGGTGGGACATTGTTGTCAATACATTATTCTCCAACAGCTACCAAGCTTGGACATAGAACATCAACGTAAAACCTAAAAACCCTATGATACCAAGTTAAAGCTCAGATTTGTACGTTAGCTTACATATTTGATATTTATTCCGTAGTGTACATTGGAAGGAAAATATTTAACTTGGCATGGTAGTGATGAGATATTTAATCTGATTTTTATTTAGTTATTAACTTATTATACAGTATATCTATATGCCATACTTCCCTATATGAAAGGCGGGGTTAGAAGAACAGTGACATAACTGCACTCAAAAATCAATGGTAGTTGTCAATTTTCAGGTCTTCTAATGACTCTGAAATTCTCTCTTTGTTTCCTAATTTTTGTAACTCGGATGCCATCTTGACAAATTCGGTTTCTTCAGTTTCGGTATTTGGAAAATCGACATGAAAAGAGCCTTGTTTTAGAGGGCCGAGAGGTGCGTGGCTCAATCCCTGCTCCTTCATGTAATTGTAATGTTGTTGGTGAAAATGATGGTCCACCAAAAAGCAATTATCATCAGGTCCCTCGAAGTACCGAGATGACCCCGAACCTTTTCTACGACAAAAGTGGGGAAGAGATGAATAATCCATTATCTGCACCGAACATAAAAAATAACACAGGTCTAATCTCATCTTGCTTCAATGTAACTATAGAATGTAGGCAGGAGTACCAAGGTATATATGAACTTCACTCTAACTCACTCCAACATGACCCACAAGAAAGTGGTGTTTATCTCATAGCTATTAGACTAGGAAACAGTAGCCACCAAAGTGCCAATTCAACATGTGTCTAACCCAGGCCAGTCTGAACAACTACACACATGGACATGTGAGCTTAAACCAAACCCACAAAGGAGTTGCAACAAAGCATTGGTTGGTAAGACCCTCACAAACTACAAGTTACACGTCTACACCTATATACTAGATCCATTCCTAATAAGTCTCTCATTTTTTCGTGATTCTTTTTTTTTAATAAAAAGTAAAATGTAATGCACTTTCCCGAATTACATCTCACTTAGGTCAAACAGTGTCATGTCATTTCAAAAGATTATGAGAGAGAAATGGTGAACTCCGAAAGGTATAATAAAAAGGGCAGCCCGGTGAATGAAGGCATCCCCGCTGGAGAGGGTCCGGGGAAGGTCCCACTACAATGGTGTATACAAGACAAGCCTTCCCTTGTCAATTTTTTTACAAGAGGCTGCTCTCCCAAGACTTGAACATGTGACTTCTCAGTCACACAACAACACCTTAATCGGTGCACCAAGCAGTGGCGGATCCACTGCTGTTCAAGAGTGTTCACTTGAACACCCTGAATTTTCAAAAACCAGTAACTATGACTACTTATTATGTCTTGTGCTAGAAAAAATAACCGTGTAAATACGAGTGCCTTAGTGTGGACTATAGTGCTGCTGGTCTGCTGCTCTCTAAGGAAAGTGCTTATTTCTGAATTTCAGAATTTCAGAATTTTCAAGTATAAACTTAGTTGAAATGTTAGAATTCAACTAGTGTTTTTTTCTTGCTGAAACGTATGTGTCTGATAATTCTTTCGACTGGTGTGTGTAATAATTTAATAACAATTTATTAATTTAGTACTTTTTACTGTAAAGATAACTATATAATTTGTTGGCCATTTAGTAGTTTTTTATTGGAATGACAAAAGTGCATGATCTTGCATAAATTAATGCTCCATACTATCATTTGAAATTGTAGTTTTAATGTGATTTCGAACTATAAAAAGTATAGAAATAGTATTTTTTTAAATAAAAATCTTAGCATCATTTATGGAAAGATTATTCAAGTATGAAAAAGGAAAATGGGAAAAAGGAAGTGACTTTTTAGATTAGGTAAAATCTCATTAGGCACTAATGGAAATTGTGGCAATATAAAGAGTCTAATCAAGTGTGGAAACATTGTACGGTGATATAAAAGATGATATGTGTGAAGTGAGTAACACTTTAGTTTAGGTAAAATCTCATTAGACGCTAATGGAAATTATGGCAATATAAAGAGTCTGATAAAGTATGGAAATATTGTATAGTGATATAAAAGATGATATGTGTGTGTATGCTCCAATAGTATTGACTCTAGGCAAGCATAACCAGAAGCTGGAAGAAAATATTACAAGTAGAAAATGGAAAGAAATTTTACCTTCAGAAGTTCATCTTGTCCACTACCTGATAACACACGGATTTTTTTCCTCGTCCTCTCATGGAGAAGAGGTCTGACAACCTGATAATAGTTCAAAAGTGAACAAACAAAATTACTTCAATTTGAACTTATCTTTCAAAATAATAAAGTTTATAAGAGATTTGCTGCGAAAAAAGAGCAAGGAAAAGTGTATATAAGAATTAAGAATTTGGGCTAACCTTCCAGCAAGCTGAAAAAACATATGGAGCATTAACAATGTAGTATGTAATTGTCCTCTCTGGATAATTCAGGTCATCAATGGAAGATATAATTGTGCCTAACTCCACAAGATGAAAATAATAAAATAACACACTCTTGAACAACTTGTAGAGTATTCAACACTAGTAAACCAAATGGGGTTAAAAACTAGATAGTACGATGTTTCATTCCACTCCCTCCATCGAAAAAAGAGTCCAGTTTCAAACATTGATTTTTGCATAACAAAAAAAACGACAAGTTACCTATGATAAACCTAGTTCAACCAACAGCAAAAAGATTAAAATCAAGTAGGATTCCTGATTTATGGCAGTTCTACCTTACAAAAATTTGAACTTTAGTCAAAATGACTCTTAAAAAACACATAGGTAGTAATATCAAATGCTATGAAGTCATCAAGAAAAAAGGTTAAAGCTGAAGTGTTTTGCATATTTTAATTGGGAAGTTCAAGAGAAAGTCAAACATGCATTGGAACATGTTTGATAATGTTAGTAACATTATGTTACTTGTTTGATGTTTGATGTTTTTCTTTTCTATGAAGTACATAGACATGTTTGACCGTCTTCTTTGTATATATGATTTGTATTATTGATTTATTATCAAGAAAATATATTATTTTTATATTAATTTTAGGGAAAATGGAAACTAATAATCCAACCTTTTAGTGGTCTTCTTACAATAGTCCCACCTTTTGATTATTCATGAATAATACAACCTTTGCACCTCATCTTCATTCACTGGTCCCTGACCGGTTGATGACCTGCTATTCCAAGTTATTTTCTTATCTTTGCAAACCATCATACCATAAATCTCACCTTTCACAAAGATAATATTTTGCAAAGATAAGAAAATAACTTAGAATAGCAGGTCATCAACCGGTCAGGGACCAGTGAATGAAGATGAGGTGCAAAGGTTGGATTATTAATGAATAATCAAAAGGTGGGACTATTGTAAGAAGATGTTAGCGATCAATTCTTTGGTCGCACATATGCACGCAGGGGACAACGTGGAGCAGAGATGATTAATCCAAGTGGCTAAGGGAAAGAATAAGCAAGTCAGGAGGGTCATATTAATATTAGGAATATTTTAATTAGTCCTTCTTTAATTCCTATTTCGTTATTAGAAGTTATGTCTGAATTAGCAACTAGTTTCCTAATTGTTTTTAGGAAACCCTTAATTTCTATTTAAGGGGATCCCAGTAATTTTAATAAACAGCTTTTGGTTGATTATGAGTTCTCTTGACTAGGTCGGGGAAAAGTAATTATCGCTTAAGCCTTTAGTCTCGTTTATCTCTTCCCAGTCAATTAAAATAGCTTCAAACAAACCATCGTTTACCTGCGGCTCTTCTCGTTCACGCCCTTGGACGAGATCATTAACTAAAGCTCTTAACAATTTGGTATCAGAGCCCCATAAATAGGGTCGCCAATGGGTGACTGCCTTGGCTAACCCGATCAATTCCCTTTCATAAGCTGCTAGCTTAACATGTCGGGCAGCAATCTTGCGGCTAAAATAAGCAATGGGATGGCCTTCCTGTTGCAAAACTACCCCAAAACCTGATCCGGAGGCATCACATTCGACGACAAATTCTTTCTCAAAATTCGGTAACTGGAGAACTGGGGCCGAGGAGAGGCAACGTTTGAGATCACAGAAGGCTTGTTCTGCGGCGTCGTTCCAGGAAAAAGCATTCTTCTTTAGCAATTGGGTGAGTGGTCCAGCAATTTCCCCGTAATGCTGAATAAACTTGCGGTAATAACCAGCGAGGCCCAAAAACCCGCGTAAGGCTGTGACTGATCGGGGTGTTGGCCATTCCTTGATGGCTTGGATTTTGGCCGGATCTGCCTCAACGCCCTTGCTATGGATAATATGACCGAGATATTGGACTGTAGGCGCTCCAAAACTGCACTTGGACTTTTTTAACGCAAGG